TTCAAACACCTTAAACAACAAAGTTTTTGTGCCAAAAAAATAATTTAAATTATAGATTTCTTTCCTAAATACTGAACAACATTTACAAACTTCTGTAAAAAACAACAATAGTCCCATTAAATTTGTGCATACGTCTGAAACAATCATCATTTTCTAAAAGTTCTTGTTTGTTGAAAAAATAAATTTTGAGTAACAATGTAAAGATACTTATAATATTTAAATATGCCGTTGACCCGTATTTTCGGGGGTTTAATGTTTTAAATTAAAGCCACCGTTTTTAAATTAATAGTAAATGGAAGACAAAAAACATCAACAGTGAGTAAAAACTATGACAAACAAAAAAGGAACTTATAGTAATTTATAGAAATAAGTGTCGGCGAAAACTTGATGCTTTTTTGGAGAGTCCAATCAATCGCACCAGCTGCCATTCACAACTGGACATGACGCCACAAATAGGGAAACCCCCAAAAATGAGACAAGGCATATATGCAAAAAAAACATTAAAATTTTAACAAAAACATGAAAAAACTAAAAAAAACCCCATTCCCGGGAGTTAAATTGGACATATTTTTTTTCAAAAAAGGGTATCGTGGTTTGGGGGTTTTGGGGGAAATTTCATTTTTTTAAAACCATTTTAAAATTTGGGGGGTGTCTTGGGTTAGTTTTGGGGGGGGGTAGTCGGGGTGTTGGGGTAAATAACACCGATCAATTTTTCTTCCTTCATTATTTAAATAAGGATTTAAAACTACATATAAAAAGAAAATCATTTCGATATTTCTGTGGCGTGGCATTGTCCACAGACACTGAAAAAAAAAAATTGTTTAAAAACTGAAAATACTCTTCTCCTCGTTACTGAAACCATGTCGGCTGATACATGCATTGACGAACATATTTATATTCCTTTTCGTATTACTTTTTTATTTTGGCTGTGTTTCCTTTTTGGCTTAGTGCCTTCAAAATAAAAGAGAAAAGACATATTGTGGCAGCAGAGATGAAACGCCAATAAATATGGTCTAACAACTCAATAATATTTCATAGTGTTTTAAGTTCAATAAAGCTGCTGCAATAATTTTTAGGGCCAAGGTGGTTTACCCCATCAAAAATCTAGAGTAAAATGAAAATTCTGGGTAAAATTTAAAAAACGAATTTTGCATTGTTTTGTTATCAAAATTCCATTGCCCTTTAAAAAGTTTCCTTTCTTTACAAAATCAGACTGACTTATATAATAAAAATTTTTTTCAACTTTTAAATATAACAAAACTTCTCTTTAAGGGAGGGTTTTCCCAGATAGGGGTTTTTAAGGTTACACAACAAAAATCAAAAAACTCTTTTTTTTTTTGCTTTACATTTGTTGTTTTAATGTGTCACATTCTTTTACAATCATACATGGTCGCAAGGTTTTTTCATACTCATTTCTACAGCTACATTTTGTGCCCCTCTTTGGTTTTTTATTTTTTAGATTTAAAATTAAATTAATGAAAAATAAATTTTAATTAAAAATTAAAAAACTTTTTAGCACAAAGAATTATTTCTTTGAAAATTTTCCCGGGAACGGGAAAACCCTTGTACGAAAATTTTGAAAAAAAACCCGGGGCCAAATGGAAAAAAGGGAAAAAATTGGGGTTTTTCCAAAAAACTAAAGGGGTTGGAAAATTTACAAAACATTTTTCTTTATTTGTACCAAAAAAAATTAAAATATTTTTGCTAAAAATTGAAAATTAGGTTAAGTCCTCCCGGATATTCCCACCAAAAAAAATTTTTTAATCAATAAATTTTTTTCAAAAACTCCCAAGATTTAAACCTTTCCCCTTTTTTAAAACTCGATGTCATTTCCCTTTGCTACTTTCCCGGTTTTAAATTTAAATTTAGGGGTTGAAAAGGGTTTTAAATTTTTTAAAAAAGTTTAGTAGCGATTTCCGCTTTCGTAATTTTTTTTCAAGGGGTGTTTTTAAATGAAAAAAATGATTTTTCTTTTAGCTGAAAACTTCAGCGAACAAAAATTTTAAAAGTAAAATTAAAACACGGGCCCGGTCCCTTTGGCCAGGGGTATAAATTCAGGCCATTTAAATTTTAAAGAAAAATTTTTTAATTTTTTAAATTTAGAAAAAAAAATTTCAAAACTGGAAATTCGGGCCAGTAAATTCAAAATCTTTTAAACTCAAGTTGACTGAAAGTGACATATAAATAGTTCTCTCAGTTTTAACCAAGATGAGTATATGAAGTATATATGAAGGTGCATGTAAAAAGATAGAATGAAGAACCTATGTCTATGCACATTTACTATATGGCCTGTTGACCTTGACCACAAAATGTTAGATAGGTAGATTTCATAAAAGATGTCTCTTTATACAAAATTAAGTTGTAATACATGTATGTTATTTAGTAATTGGAATGAGAGGCACAAGTCCTAAAGTAAACACAAGTTGTCAATCAATTCAGCCAGAAAAGCCGGGATCCTATTAAAAAAATATAGGGATCCCGAAATTGACCAGTCTAAAAAAGATGTTTTTCAGATAAGCCGGGATCCTATTAAAACATATAGGGATCCCGGGAATTGGACCAGTTCAACGAATATAGTTTTCAGAAAAGCCGGGATCGTATTAAAATGTAAATAGATCTCACGGATTGGCCAGTTCAAGTATATAGTTTTCAGAAAAGCTGGGATCGTTTTAAAACATATAGGGATCCGGGATTTGACCAATTCAAGAAAATAGTCTTTGATTTTTCCAAATTAATTAGGCATATTATTGTTAGTATTGTGATTTCCGCATTTTTAAAGTTTGTTAATTAATAGCTCTAAATATATCTATATTTTTAAGTTAAATTAATTTAACGGTTCATTATATACAATAAAAAAATTAACGTTTAATGGCCTTTCATTACGACAACAATCAACACAAATATAGTTCCATTAGGTTTTTCCTCCATATCTTATACGATCCCGGATCCCGGATCCGGCCAGTAAATACATACACTAAATACCGGAAAGGATAAAATGACGGAAAAAAAAAGGAAAAATAAAAAATGCACAGAACCAGATGTAACACTTAATTCAATTAACCAAACGAAAATACTTACTAACAGAGAAAACAAGGTGAAATCGCTAAATCAGAAGTCAGTGTAAATATGATTTATTGAAAACGAATTCATAAAGACAAACATTTTAAATCATCATTATATCTTTGCGCTCAAAACCAATACTTGCCTGATTTTTAAAAATAATGGCGTGAAAAATTGAAGGTTTTTTGACGCTATGTAAGATTAAAATTTGATTGGCTAAATAATTTTGATCCTAAAGCCCTGAATAGATAAATTTTGTAGAAAGCTGGAAGCCAACGCTCGATTAAATTTTTGGATAGCTTCGGAGTTTTAGGTTGTTTCTCAGTAAAAATCCTAAAAAACCGAATACCGGCTCGCCGTGGCGAAAAAACCCGGTCACAATAGTACTTAAAAAAGTTTTAAAAAATCCCATTCGGGAAAAAAAAATAATTGAAAAAAAATAAAGAAAAAAAACCAATGGCAAAAACTAAAAGCTCGGCAAAAAAATTTAAAAAAATTTTTAATTTGAAATAAAAAAAAAAAAGGAAAAAAATTCAAAAAAAAAACTTGGTCCCCTGCCAACCCGTCCTCTGAAGTTCTAAATTTTTTGGGTCCTCAAAACCCTTGGGAAAAAAATCGCCCCTGGTCAATCGCCCCAAAATTCGTCCCTTATTTAAAAAAATTTATTTTTTAAAAAAAATTTAAAAAAATTTAAAATAGCTTTTAAAATTAATATAAATAAATAATTTGAAATTAAAAAAAAATTTACGCTTTTGAAACGAAAAAATTTGGAATTTTTTTGTTTTTTAAATTTAATTTTAAAAATAAAAATTTTAAGCGAATGCCTTTGGTTTATTAAGCAGTAAACACAGCTAATTTGTAATTTGATAATAGGATTAAAGACATATTTGTCTGAGGCTGTGGTTGGATAAGTATTATATATTTAAAGAACGCGTGTCTCTAATTTGAAATTATACAAATCGGGTTAAAATCGTGCCCAAAGTGTTAAAAAAATTTATTTTCCAAATGTCCTTATTTTTTTTTTTGATGGTGTTATGGTCAAATATATGAAAATGTTTGAATTAAATACAATTAAAACATTCAATATGTTGACTTGTATTATACAAGAAATTCTGGAAACTCGGTCTTATACAGTTCCCCATCGAGATCAATTTTAACGATTATTTATGGAAATTTAATATGAATCTATTATACATGTAATAATTACTACTTATTTTGGCAATTGAATATTTGGTAATTACTTTATGTTTTCAATCAGTTAATATCCACGGCAAATATTATTGTACGGATTTTTTATTTTAAAAAAATAATGAAAGAAAAAATAAATGTTATTTTAAGGAATAAATCTTATATTTATCAGGGCAACTTTTATATTGACAATTTTTTTTCACAACAAACAATTATCATGTTTTTAAATTGACACGATCCTTCAATAATGAGATCAATACGCACCGACATAAAGTTTTTAGCAACTTCTAATTTCTGTTAATCTGTCGTCAGTCTTTAATCCATTCAGGGAGTAGGTAAAAATCAAAGAGTTGGATCTAATTTTAGTTTTAATTATCATTAAAAACTTCGATTGATTAAACTTTAATTGAATGTTTGCAAACTTACCTGTCTTTGTAGTTGACATCAAAGCTATGCACGTGCGCTTAGATAAAGATAATTAAAAGTGTAACGTAAAAAAGACGTTAATATATAATATTACGATATCAATCAAATTCATTATTAATTTTACATAAAAGAACTATTTAAAAACATTGATTTACAACATAATAGTGACGAACAGATCGAAAGTAGGGGACGAGTTGACCATATTAGGGACGAGTTGACTCTTTGAGGACGAGTTGACCAGAAGTAGGGGACGAGTTGACCAAAAAGGTGACGAGTTGACCAGAGGACGAGTTGACCAGGGGACGAGTTGACCGGATTGCTGAAAAAAGCCCTCGACCAGACGGGCTACCAGCTTGGAATTTTCACTCGACCACCCGCAAATTTACTCGACTCGGTCGTCGGTCGAGTGGGTTAAGTCGAAGACTGGTCAATGATTTCTTATTTGCTAAACAGCTAGTTGTAGTAGAGTAGGTATCAGAACGATTTGAAGGTTGTTCGGAAGTTTTATTGTTTGATTTTGCTGGTAATTTTGGTATAACAGTCTCTATTCTGCATATCTCAGTTACCTTTTCCATCATGTCTGTGATTTGAGGAGAATGAAGAAGTTCATACTGCAGTATTTTTCTTCCTTCCAATAAACTTCTTAATTGTTTTTCAATGATCCCAGTATTCCTAGCTGATTGTTTCATAGCTATAAAGGCTTCACAGTGTTGACCAACTTTCTCTTTAATATCAATCTTTGTTTTCAGTTCTTTAAGGTCTTTATCCATGGTATTGTATGTTGTACAAGTTTTAGTGAAGGTGGTTGTATTACTTGCATGTATTTCATCAATTTTGTTCTCCATTTCCTTCTCAAGTTTATCAAAGAATTTGTTAATTTCGTTACGTTGTTTATTCAGCTCAGTTTTTGCTACCTTTCTCATATCATCTGCTATAGCTGACATTGAGTTCAGTGTATTTCTATCATCTTGAACTTGCTGTGAAATGACATCAATTTTAGTTACATATGTTTGTAGATCATCAGTGATATTTATAGCCTTTACAAGTTTAGGAATGTGTTCCACTTTATCACATTGCCTATGATTTAATGTAATACATGTAGTGCATCCAAGCGTGTCACATGACAGACAGAAATATTCAATGACCTTGTCTTTATGAAGGTTACATGTTGTAACACACACATCTTGGACATATTTCTCCTTCACAGTTTGAGGCATAGTGTGTTTATCATGAAGAACATGGCTCCTGAAAGCTTTAAAAAGTTTATGATTCTTGTAACATTGTCCACAGAGATATTCCGAGCAATCCACACAGAAACCTTCAGCCTCCGTTTGTCTTCCATCTTGTTCACAAGGTTCACAAGAAATAACTTCTGCTTCATCAGAACCTCCAATAACAGTCCTGCTATGATCCATACACTCGGCCATTTTATCTGTACTATAGTTAGTTGGGACGTAGTCCCAACTAGTGCACTTACAAACCCGAAATTTCCAACCATACAGGGTAATGCCCACTGCTGTGACGTTTCATCGCCACTCTATATGCTATATTGTATTCTAACATATCAAGGTAAGCTGAATTCATAGTGGATCACCCGACCATGACCGACGCATAACCGCCGCGAGTGAAAAATAGTGCTCTGAATTTCTGAAAACTTCGATTTATTGCGAACAGAAGTGGAGACAAGAAATTTATTTTTTTGAAAATAATGTGCAATTGAGCTTGAATTACGGTATTAGAAACGTAGCGGATATAATTTGAAAGGTCACATAATTCTATGAATGGGGTAGTAAATTAATTGGGTCATATTGGGCTATTCCAGAAAATGTCCATACCCCCCCTATAGAAGGCACTTTTTTTTGTCCAGGGGGGGGGAATTTTCATAGAGGGATTTTGTCCGAGGGGTACCCGTCCAGGGGGGTGTATTTGTTTGAAATGGTTTGTCCAGGGGGGTCTTTTTCAGCAAAAATGTTGTCCAAGGGGGGGGGGGGTATTTCTCAGGAAAAATGCCTTCCATAGGCTCCAGGGGGGAGGGTATTTGAAATGGTTTGTCCAGGGGGGTGTTTCTCAGGAAAAATGCCTTCCATAGGCGTAGGCGTCGGGGGGGGATGGGTTTGAAATAGTTTGTCCAGGGGGTATCTGTCCAGGGGGGGGGGGGGGGGTGACAGAGGGTATTTGAAATAGTTTGTCCAGGGGGGTGTTTCTCAGGAAAAATGCCTTCCATAGGCGTCCAGGGGGTATCTGTCCGGGGGAATGGGGGTGGCAGAGGGTATTTGAAATGGTTTGTCCAGGGGGGTCTTTCTCAGCAAAAAATGCCTTCCATAGAGTGTCCAAGGGGTATCTGTCCAAGGGGGTGGGGGTGGAAATGTGTTGTCCAGGGGGTATTTTTTCAGCAAAAAATGGTGTCCAGGGGGGTGTTTCTCAGCAAAGAATGCCTTCCATAAGCGTCCAGGGGGTTTCTGTCCAGGGGGATTTTGGATGTGTTGTCTGTAAATAGGCCGTCTGTCCAGGGGGGTCTTTTTTAGTCAAAAATGCCTTCCATATAGTGTTCAAGGGTATCTGTCCAGGGTTGTTTTGAAATTGGTTGTCCAGGGGGTATTTTTCAGCCAAAAATGGTGTCCAAACGGGTTGTTTCTCAGCAAAAAAAGCCTTCCATAGGCGTCAAGGGGGGTTTTGAGATGGGTTGTCTGCAAAGGGGTTTTTGAAATAGGCTGTCTGTACAGGGGGGTCTTTTTTAGTCAAAAATGCCTTACATATAGTGTTCAAGGGGTATCTGTCCAGGTGTGTATTGAAATGGGTTTTCTGTACAGGGGTGTTAGAAATTGGTTGTCCAGGGGGTATTTTTCAGCAAAAAATGGGTTGTTTCTCAGCAAGAAATGCTTTCAAGCAGGGGGGTTTTGAAATGGGTTTTCTTGCATCTCAGACAGGATTATCTACCTTTTACACCGGTGCTAGAAAACCCTGTCTTACACCCCCCCCATGTAAGACAAGCCGCGTGCTTAAATGATGTCATTGACGCGCGCCTTTTATTAATGAATCGCAGTCTTAGGATGACGGCATTTTTCCGTTATGAATGAAGTTGTATGTTCATACGTTACTATAAGAAAAAAGTGTGTAATGAGAATATCAGTTTTCATGATTTCTTTTCCGAAAATAATTGACATGTAATATGCAAGAAAAAGAATCAAACACCGGCTGTTGGTACAGACGGGAATATCTAGCTCTCGGGTAACTGTTTAGCGGAAACTCGGCAGATCGAGCCTCGTTACCGCCATAAACAGTTACCCTCGAGCTAGATATTCCAGTCTGTACCGGCAGCCGGTGTAAGATTCTTATTGTCTGTTAAGGGGGGTTTTGAAATAGACTGTCCATAGGGAGGGGGGGGGTATTTTTTTGCCAAAAATGGTGTCCTTAGAGTGTCCAAGGGGCACCCTTCCAGGACTGGTACTAGAAGTAAGTTTAAAGGTGGTCTTTGGCAAAAATGCCTTCTATTGATTGTCCAAAAGGTATCCTTCAAGTTTTATAAATAGAAATAGTTTGCCCAGATTTTTTTTTTTTTCTGCGAGAAAGCCTTGCATATTGTAACTGAGGGGAATCCTTTCTTTTTTGGGGTGGGGGTGAGGGGTTTAGGTTTGTCCGGGAGAACTTTTTCAGTATAATGCCTTCTACAGGTTTTCAAAAGGATATGTGTCTTGGGTTGGGATGTGTTTAATGGACATTAACAAGGGTTAAAATGTCAGGATTTTACTTTGATTAAATATAGGGGTTTGAACACCATGGGATATGTTTGGTGGTGACATGTATAAAGAATTCTTCACTAAAGCTGAAAGAATTCAAAACTAAAAGAAATTTATATTGTTGAAACAGCTTTTATATTTCCATGCAAAAAGTAGAAAAATAGCATTGATGTAAAGTAATGATAAAAATAAGCATGCCAAAATCAATGTCTACAATAAATAATATCTACCATAACAAGACTTATGATGTCCCAAACAAATCACTTTGTTGCAAAAAAAGGTCAGTGCAGATTGGACCATATAGCCATTTATCTGGGCTAATTACATGTGACATACTCATTAAACATACTTCAAATAAAATATTACACTGTTATATTTTTTGAAGTTTTTTATCTAACTGCTATACGCTTATTTTCTTAATTGTTATTTGTAACCATGTTGCATTTCCACGCAAGAAAGTATGATCAATGAGGGTAAGTTAACTTACTTGTAACATTTAACTTAAGGTAATGAGTTTGGGCATCCTTTGCCTTTAGTAATTGATAAATTTTTCTGAAATCATTTTGTTTCAAATTATGTTTTTGATTTAAATTACTTAACTATCATTTATATTTAATGTTTTAAAAAAGAAAGAGAAATTAGAAAAAAAAAGGTGCAGGTCAAATGACCATTTTATTTTATTCTTTAAAGTGCTTGATTAATAACTAGTATCACTGTATATGTTACAATAACTATATTAGATTTAGATTTGTGTCTTGTTTGTAGGTATACCAGTACATGATTTTCAATGTGATTTTTCTGTCACTTCAACTTGATAGGAAATTTCAAGGTAGGTTCAATATTACTTTAAAATATTAACAACTTAGAAACAGATAAATATGAGTAAAGTGTTAGCTTTTATTACACAAAGCCATGCTTAAAATATTTTTACATTTACTTTATACTAAAACTGCGCTCGAAAAACAGGTCAATATGTAACTACCCATATGCAATTTGTTAAAAGTATTCAAAAATAGTCTTAAATTTAGAAAAGAGACCCATTCATTAAACTTCTCCTGAACATGGTTCATTCTAATGAACCTTTTAGTACTTGAACCTTTTAGTACTAAGTGACCTCCATGGTGGTGACATTAATTTAACTAATTCACCTATTTTTCTTTCAGATCTATATTTCTACATGCTATTGCAACTAAGCGTTTGCCACAAGATTTTATTGTGAATTTTGTAGGCAATGAAACATGTCAAATATCTAGGCTCTGGGCATTTTCCTATATATAAGCACAGGAACCTGAAATTCTATCCAAAACAGAAAAATAACGATTTAAAAAAAATCCCATACATATACTATTTTTTATAGTATGATTTAAAAAAAATCCCATACATATACTATTTTTTATAGTATATGTATGGGATTTTTTTTTAAATCGTTATTTTTCTGTTTTGGATAGAATTTCAGGTTCCTGTGATAGAAGTCTATGTAAACTAAATAAATGGATCCCTAGAGCAGGGCCAATTTTGAATTGAGAAAGCCAAAAAAGTTCTTCACATCATGTCATTTTATTATTTTTCCCACAAAGTTTTAATTTTCTTTCATTGGTTCAAAAGAATAGAATGAATACGAACATTCATATCATAATGTCTCACAAATGCATACTGACAGTTTGATGGACAGAAGACCAGAAGTATAAAATTTTACTGAAAATCTTTGGACTTAAAAACATATACAGTCTGTATATGTTTTACATCATAGAAACAGAAAAAAATGTTAGTTTAAGTTTTATTATTTAATGTCTTGTTTTAATATAAATTTATTATTCATACATTTACACACAAAATAACCATTTTTACACCATAGAAACAGGAAAAAAGGCAGAATGTATAGGTATTCATAGTTTTATAATGATAAGGTTTATTCTGGCCGCACTGAGAATTCCTATGGAAGTTATTAAATTCACTGCTTCTTCTATGTCTTCTCCAGTTATGTCATTTTCTATTTCACATCATCTGATGATTTTCTTATTGTATAAAGAAATGTTGATAATGAACCAGTACACAAGGAAATCATCATGCTCTGGGTGCCTGTAAAATATTAAAGAACAATCAATAAATTTAAGAATGGCTTAGATTGTTGTTTGGCTAGATACTTTTCTTCATGCATATTCATGAACAAAATTGACAAAGTTAATAAATTATAATTATGTTCAAATTGAGAAGCTTATTGCCAATTTGCCTTTACTTCAATACTGTATTGTTCCTATTCAACATCACAGAGGGCTTACATTTTCTCAAAAAGGGTGCATTAATTAAAACTACATAAATTTACATACACATAATTTTATTATATTAAGATTCAATTCAATAAATAATACAGCAGTAATCTTTTTATGATATAACAATGCTGTAGTGTCATTGTTATTTTTCAAATAGAAATTGGATTGTTTGAATTGCTCATTATCAATCTATAAAAATTTAGGTAAGAGTTTTACTTCAACAAAATGTGATAGGGGGCACTAAGTGAGGAAGTGTGTGTGTGTGTGGGGGGGGTATTAAATGGAACCCATTATAGTAGATCATAAAACATAAATTATTAAGTTCCCTCAATAATTATGCAAGTATGAGTAGCCTATTTAGTAAGCAATCCTTTCATTAGGAATTTTTTATATTAAGAATTTTGAATGAAAGTTATTCAAAAAAATATTGTTTTTCATCAGTGGTTTATTAAAATAAACAAGCTTATAGAATTTTTAACAGTAGCAGTTTGATTTAAAAAAAAACACAACAAAACAAAATAACCCCATCAAAAACAGCCAACTCCA